ATGTATGTATGTGGGTATATGAATAACGACCGCTTAAAATCGATTTCAAAGTTCTACTTTCGCTGTAGAAATTTTAGGTCTACGTTATGTAGTTTGACTATTGTCAATTAAATCGAATGCTTTGTATTGCATGCGCTCCACGTTTTTCATTTTCAATTTCATAGATTGTTTATAATGACTTTTGCTAAAATTTCAAAATCAAAAGTTATCGAAACAAATTCTATGGGACTGAGAAATATTATTTTCTACTTTTTAGTCCATTTATAAAAGCGTTGTATATTAAAAAGTTTTTTTTTTATATTATTTATTATTTTTTGAATTTTGAATTGTGTCGCTATTGCACAGGACCATCGATATGCATATATATTTTTTATCAGCACCACATCTTTATCAGAAAATCCCGAGAATACAAAAATTGGTACTGTTACAAGTTGCAAGTCATCATTTTAACTCGACCTCCTCCCTCTTCCACGGACAACGGTACATCGTTTAGAGGTTTAAAAATATTTTGCGTCAGCAATTTGCCATCACACCCTGCATTACACGTATTACGTGCTCTATCCTCGGAAAAGCAAAAAACTTTATTTTCGACCATTTGCTCAGGTGTACCGAATTCTGGCAGTTTGGAAACGCGCAAGACAATATTTTCATCCAACTTCACTAACTTCAAAATTTTCTTTTACTTTTTCAAGAAACAAAAATTTTGCTGCTAGTGATATTGGTAGCATGACTTCAGTTAAATGTCATAAACTTGTTAAAAGTGAAGTGGTCGGCAAAAACAACGAATGACAATAAATTAAACTACCTTCTGCTTTTTTATCATGGCGTTTCCCTGTGGGGAAAATCTCTAGTTCTAAACTGGTACGCTTCTGGTACATTTAGTCCCAGTACTGGTTCGCGATAAATCTCTTTTGCATGCAAGCAACTGGCGAATTTAACATGGCGATGTCCTAGGAAGTGTCAATTGCCCCCCGCTGCATCCCTTTTTCGATAGTTCCGAACTAGTCCTAACTTCTATAGTTCCGAACCAGTTCTAAAATCGACAGACGAAAGAAAAAATTATCATGATTTTTCAATCTTTTTGGTTCTTCCGTGTGTGCGATTTTAAGTTATTTTGGAAGAAATGTGTTTTCAATTTGAAATTAAATTTGTTTGAATGATTGTAAGAAATGTACGTTTCCATACCTTTAGCTGTAGCTGAGTTTGCAGAGGTGCTCGCTGTTATTTCTTAGATTCCAGACTGTCCCAAGATGTTGAAATGTTAACACAAATTTTAGTTTTGTATTACCAAGCTATGAAAAAGCATCTGCGAAGCACAGAATAGAAGCGTATTTGAACGAAAAAGCCGCCGAACACATATCTATGTAAAGTAAACAAGCCCCCCGCTGCATCCCTTTTTCGATAGTTCCCGTCTAGTTCTAAATTCGACAAATAAGATCTACTTCGTTCTGCATCCCTTTTTCTATAGGTCCGAACTATTTCTAAATTCGTCACTTTAGATATAGATTTCTAGTGAAAAAACTGAAAAAACTTAGTTTTTTAAAAGTACCACTTTTCGCCGATTTTGGACTGGTGGGGATCTAGTTCCTTTTTGGCGATAAAGACCTAGTACGGAACTGGAAATTTGATTCACTAGTCCGCGGTTTCCCTACAGGGTTTCTTTTCTCGAAATAATGTTGCCCTTTTTCCTCAGCCCTTTCTCACAGCTGTACGTGTTCGTTTCTCAAAACATTGCCCTACGACTAAGCAAAAGTGCCATACTTTCTGCCAATATAGCCCTTTTGTTGCACAAAAACAACCTACTGCTAAGATGGCAAAAATTTTCAATAGAAAAGAAAACGCCATCAATTTGTAATTTATCTCTTTTTTTGATACATATTTGACCCGTAGCACACATAACCAAAAAATACCACGTAAACATATGACCGGGGTGCCCGTGTGTCTACTTACTCGTTTTTAATATTTTAGAAGCATAATAGCAATTGTTATGGGTTCAAATCAATACTATTTGAGCGCTAGTCAATAAAGAATATTTATATATTAACTGCGAAAATTCAAGTAAGTAAATACACAGAAGAAATAGGCTTCAAAAAACATTGTACAACTACATGATGCAATAATGAAAGGTGTTATACGCTGTGACAGCTCGAAATCGAACTACCTTAGGTCAATGTTGTATTTTGGAAGTAGAAGAAAAACGGGAAGAAAAAAAGCCTTTTAGTTGAAAAAGTACTAAATTTTATGCCTTCTCAACAGCGTTCCGATTATGTGAATAGGTTTAAAGTACAAAACCGCGTATCGTCATTCTGCAAAACCGCGTAACTGACATTGGCTGCCAAAAATTGGATTTGCTCTCACAATCTCTAGGCTCAATCCTTATCCATTCGTCCTGAAATATACTAGCCAGAAATGCGATTGCTTCATAAAAAAGGGGAACCATTTTGAAATATGAGTGTTTTTACGCTCTAGAAAATAATTTCTACAAGTTCACACACGCGGTTTTGCATTTTGTTGTTACGCGGTTTTGCATTTTAATCGACGATATAATTCCTTATATAAGCCGCATCACTAAGAAAATTATCCCTTATAAATTTATAATGTTGCCCTTATATTGTACAGGCCAAATAGAGGAATTCATTTACGTGTGATATTTTGTCCCCCTCTTTCAAATGGGCTTCTTGTGCGCATATATCAGGTTTGATAGCTGTTGACCATACCAATAACACTATGCGACAGTCAAAATCGGGATGGGATGAAACCAACGGGAAATGTTATATCGGTCAAAAACAAGTTATACGTGTCCCGTTGATTATATAGAAAAACGTTATATGAACAGATTAAAGGAATTGTAATTTTTAATTTTTTTAAATTTGTTTGAGCAAAATCGGACTAGTGGTTCTCGAGGTATGTCAAAAACAGACCACCAAAGGTGACAGCGAAACGCCGGGACACGTATAACTTCTTTTTTACCGATATAACTTTCCCCGGTAGTTTGAACCCTTCCCGATCACTGACCCCTACCATTTGTCTCACAGTGTAATAGTTGTGTTTGTTTAGAAATTATCCAGTAACTTGCCAGTATCTTTATTTCTAAGAATTCGCTCTCATAGAAAAAACTTGCAAGAAAGTACGCGAACGCTATTCCAGTAATAATTTGCAAGTTTCATGAACAGCTGATAAATTGGATGTTTATTCGCAGCAAATT